ATTGCAGGGTGTTACATAGAAAGAGTTTCTTGTTTGTTAAGGTGTTATTGGAAGTCATCAGTTCTTGGGTGCTGCATGTACTAGTACATTTTTCCTTTTCTTTAAGGTCCTCCAACGTAGGTGCAACTCAGATTAAAATTAAAAGCTTAAGTTGCCAGGTGTGAGTATCCTTAGAATATTTCTTTCTTTCCTTTCAGTGGTTTATATGTTTGGCTGCAATGCCTGCACGGTCGCCTGGCCCATCTAGCCAGCTTGTGTACTTAACCTGCACAAATTGTTTGTTGTTCTTAGGTTTGTCTTCTTTCTTAGGTTTTTGTCGGTAAGTTGAGCTTTTGCTATGCAAGACAAATTCTTAGGGTTACACTGGTTTGTGTGGCTTTGGTCTCTTTCTTGTGAGGAACTGTGACCCTTATGGGGCTCTTCCGATTTGAGATACTCTTATGGACGTCTTTTAGATACAGGAAAAATATACTACATAGCTACTGAAGTTAAGCATTAACATTTTTGGGGAACAGCAAAGTATTTTGTGGACATTGTGGACAACTCTCAGCAGCTGTCAGAGGTGGACTGCTGGTCTGGGTGGATCTGTGGTCAGTTCCAGGGTGGCTGCTTTCATGTTGCTCCTCCTTGCTAAGCTGGAATTGGTCAGAGTGCCTCGTAAGCAGGCTGGCAGTGATGCACTTCTTGGCTCTGTACTGGGGTACCCTGCTGGACCCCTCCACTTCAAGAAACCAAGCAGTATCCTGCAGACATTTCTTTTAATCAACTTATCAGTTGCATTATTTGATAGGTTCCTAGCAAAAGTATTTGACTCCTTTGTCCCTTCCTTCCCTATCCCCCCAAGACACTGGGATTAAGGGATAGAATACATGGTTAGGATTGTGTATCAGTGACGAAGGGGATTTATCTTGGTCTACAGCAGCAAGGACACCTCTTGCAAAAATCTGTTCTCTGTGTTTTCTGAGATATTTAAGGCAGGTAGGACCCTGAAAAGGTGCTGCTTGCAAACAAACATTTTGCAGAGCTAGAAAAGAAAGAAAGGAGTCTTTCTTGCACTATGAAAAATGCAAACTGCAGGTCCCCAACCCCTTCATGGTGACAATGTCCCACCTTGGCTGGGGTTTAAGGCCCGTTACAGCAGCAGTCTTTTGGGATAAGGAGTTTTGTGGTGTTTTTTTTTACAAGGCTTACAAGGTTAGGACTCAGCAAGGTTTATGAGCCTGTAAAAGGTGTATAGTATGAATTATGACTCTGGGGCCTGGAAAGATAGACATTGAAAGGTATCTGAGGACTGGAGTAAAAAACTAAAACAACTAGTTACACAGTCCCTCAGGGAAACACACTCACGCTCTTCTCGTGCCACGCAGCTGTGCTGCCTGGTGAGGCAGCTGAAGCACGCCCAAGCGTGTCCACAGGCCGCTGCTGGCTCAGAGCACTGGCTGCAGTTGCCTGGTTGTTTCGTCACAGCTTGGTCTCCTGGCCTCTGCACACCAACTGCTTTGTGCTGGCAGAAGCTGCTGCAGTTGTTGAACATGAGCAGCTCTCTGGTTCTGTGCAGTCTGTGGAGTCAAGACACACTGCAGCCATTGCAACAAGGGTGCTTTATGGGGATTGGTGGTTCAGTGCCCCTTTTAGAAATTTCCATTTACCTCATGTGCTGATTTTTGATTTGTGTCCAACTGAGCACCCTGTTGCCTCTCTTTTTCCACATATAACTCTTATGGACAGATGGCTACTGGAACTGAGCTGTGGTGGTCCCTTAAATTGAAAGGTATATTCCCTTATAAGTTGTCTGCTGTGCTACAGCAGTTAAACATGGGAAAGTACTGCAGTTTACCAACATTCTATTTCTGTACTTTGGACGATATAGAGTGTGTATATTTTTGTACAGATATAAAACACACACTATACATAGTGAACATTTTATATATCACATATATGCATACATTTGGTACACATACACTGTTTAGAGTGCTGTACCACTGTATATATTGTGTAGACTACACCTGGTACTATTATGTATGTGTATGGAATATATAAGCATACATATAAAGCCAAATATGATGGATTTGTTCAAAACTTGCTATGATCAGCTACTTAACTGTTCTGCCAGTTGATATTTTGTCTTCTTGTAGACAAATGTTTGTGGCAATCATGTAAAGGAGCATAATTGCTTAATAAGAGCAGGTTGAGTTCTTATCTTTGAGATGCTCTGAAGGGTCTAGTTCTGGAAGTTTCTTGGCCTCAACAACAAGGAGTGGCCTAGCATATATCCAGCTAACCTTTTTCTTCAGGCTTTGTTGCATCAAAAGGCCTTTCAGCAACAATGAGTAAAAGCATCCAGTGAAGGCTGACATCTTAGAGGTGGAGCCACATTTTGTCTGTTGGGTTTGATGGGATTTTTTCCCTGCATAATTCTGGCTTTTCCATAGGGCATTTCTGGTGGACTCAAAACTACCCTGCAATTGTTTAATATCAATTTTCCACTGCTAAATACAAATAGGTATGAAAAGTCCTTGACCAATTTTGGGGGATGTATCCATCTCCACTATTTAACTCAAATACTTGTCTGGCACTATTTAAGTACATTTTTAGGAGGTTGCTTGCAAGGAAGGGCTCTGGGGCAGCATGAGTGCAAGCATGGAGAGGGGAGAGAGGAGCTGTGTCCTGGCGGGAGCTGGCACGTGATGCCCTGACTCCTGCCAGTGCTGGCAATGGCAGCAAGCAGCAGAGAGCCTGCGAGCCTGAGACTGCTTAGCTCCTGCTGCTCCTGATCTGCCCCTTGCATGGAGCAGGGCAGCGAGAGCTACGGCAGTGCTGAGAGAGAACTTGTTAAAGCCTGCCACTTTCAGCCTGTTCTTCTAGGGAACTTCACTGTGGCCACCTCAGTTAAGTGTGGTAAAATAACTATTACCAAGACCATCTTTAATTCAAAAAAATTTATTTCACACTCCTATACAAATATCCACAGGTAACTTCTAATCATGGAATGATGTAGCATTCTTAGCTGGTATAAGAGAAGTTTGAGATAAAAATATACCAGTGACGTGACTTATTTTTCAAGAATTTTAACACTGCTAAGACATTCATTTTCTTAGATGAGGGCCACAATCTGATTGTATACTCAGGGGTATTTCTTAAGCTTCTTAGCCCCTGATTAGCCTGGCTTCTGATGCTGCTGAGCCTTTAAGCAAATAGGCTAGGATTCTAAAATACATTAATACATAATTATGTATTAATATCTAAATATATTAATACATTATTATGTAAGCCTCATGAAGTCAGGGTCATAACATACTGAGATTACCTAGTTTAATAGACTCATCTTAGTTAACACTAAAGGTAACTTTTTAGGTGACCACACCTTCCAAGAAGGTACATTCAAAGTTAGCAGTAAAAATAAGATATTTGACAACTGCCCTCCTAGCAGGTTTTTACCCTATAAAGGGAAAAAGTACCAAGAGGTTTTTGCATAGTTCATAGTAGAAGCAATTAACATGCATACTTTTTGAGCAGAATCTTGTTCCATGTGGAATAAACAACTGTGAGCTAAATCTTTATTCTTAAATAGTACCAAGGCTTCAGAATATGGGTAAAAAAGTAAACTCTTTAAATCATTTTCTCAGTTATGTTACAATAACCAGATTACTAATAACATGGTTCTGCTTTTATCAACATTCAGGTATTCAAGATGATTCAGTAGTCTCAACGTGGATCAGCTCAGATCCCGACAGTGAAGGTAAGCAAGGCATCCATAGCCTCCAAGTGCTATACAGCTATACAACAGTTGCAGTAGTCAAGGCCTTTTGCCAACCCAGAAGTCCTTATGAAGCTGGAAAGAGGTTTCCAAAGGACTTTTCACTTTATTGCAGTGAGTATAAAATGGCATCTAAAACATTACTTCAGTTTGGCGTCCAAATTGTTAAACAGTCCACAGTAATATACAAATCATGTTACAGGACCTGATGTTACAAGCATCAGGAAAAGAAAGCACCCATACACATCATTTGCATAAATATTTACATTTTAGAAAGCATTGGCACCTTCAGTGATTTATTAAAATGCAGTGAAAGCCTCAGGTCTCATACTTTGAAGTTGAAACACAGAAACACAAAAACCAGAACAGTGGATTTAAAAATTCAGTAGTCTTCAGCCTACCAGTTAGTCAAAGACAATGATTTAAAATAAAAATAAATACAAAAATGACTAAAATATATATATACAGAAAGTACATCTAATATTCAAGCCTCTCTTACAATAAAAAAAAAAAAAAACCTGTGTGTATCTGGTGTGAGCAAGAATCACACAGTCTGTTCTTAAAAAAAAAATAACCCAAAATCAAGCAACATGACCCATTGCACGTGTAATTTAAGATGATGCTTTTTGTTAAGCCCTAACTACTGCAGCAGGCAAAGGTTATGACTAAAGCAGACTTGCAGGTCTTCAGTTATACTTGAATGAAGTGTGATAAGGCCACTGTGTGTTTATAAAGCACTGTGCATTGAGGGAACAATAGAGAACTCATCTTGACCTTAATCATGCATGCCTTAAATAACTAGGAAGAAAGTCAGGATCACAGGAGGATCAAAAGGTCTGCTGTAGTGGTTTTGCTTATTCTGCAGGAAAGACCCCACATCAGCATAATATTATCTGAAGTGTGGGTTAGATTTAAGGGGGATGTAGAGGCAGTGTGGAAATTAAATAAGGCAGATGAAGTCTATTGAAGCCATTTTAACTGTGCAAATAAAAGCCTCAATATAAGTAGTAATATCTACAATCAAATGATGAATGTCCGTAGTGTTCACGGGTCTAACTCCATCAGTATTCCATGAATGAAAACCTTAACCTCTATCTGAACTTTGTGGATGAACAACATTTTTGCCTAAGAATAACTTTCATTTTCATTCCATTTGGTGAACCACTGTTTTGTCTCAAGGTCTTGGCTTTTCCCATCTTTGATCTGTCGCTCCTCTTTTCGAATTCTTACAGCGTGATAGCGGGGGACACTGTCTTCGTACCTGGAACGCCGGAAGAACCCGCACTGCGCAAAGAAGGAAAAGAACAGTTTAGGTGTAAGTTGCTGCCAAAGTACTACAACTACAGAGGCAGTAAATTCTTCCTTCATGCAAATATACAGGTAAGAAAATTGAAAAAATTATGTAGCATATTTAGCTGTCAAAATGTGAGCCAAGAGGTCTGTATTAGCTGTTCAGCAGCAGTTAAAGACAAAGGGCATGCTCTGACTATCCGTGGTAATCAAATGCCTTAAAAAGATTTCCTTCAGTACAAAGCTGTTCATTCATCTAATAAGGACATTTACTGCTATACACAGGAAAGCTGCTTCTCCTGAATCAAAGATAGGTATGTATTTCAGTGTCTTTCTGTATGATGACATGATTTACCCTTAAGAACCTACAGAAAGATTTCCAGAACATTCAAAGAAAGTCACCCTAAGGGCCTTAGTTTTCAAAGCACCATTTCCACTTCAGTCACCTGAACTACCTACACATACGCTGTATTAGAAGCATGAGTCTTGCTTGCCATGGGAAGTCACCCTGGATGAAACCTGTAACAGCTTGTTTGCAATCAGCAGTTTTTATTCAAAGCTGCTGTAAAAACTGATTGTGAATATCAAGGAATGGACTAAAATTAATTTCCGAAACAAAAGGGAGCTATAGCCACAATATACAAAGATAATGACTGCTACACACTCAGCTTTACATCCTTATGGATCACAGATCATCCTTATGGACCAAGATTCAGGTTAAGAGACATTGTGCCATCCAGCTGTCATTAGATACGGCCGGGGGTAAGAACATGTTAAAGCGAGCAAGTTTTCTTTCATACTATTTAGGGTGCTGGATTTTCTGGTTCTGTTTGGTCAATAGTTTGGGGGTTTTTTAATATTAGAACTTAGAATTGAATTTTAAAAAATTACAGTGAGCAAAGACCAAATCTTTAGCCATCTCACAGTTTCATTAAATACTGTTTTGAAATAATTAATAAAGAATTCCTCCCCACTCCCTTATCCAAGCACACTTATGGATACAATGTACATGCATGTAATATCTTAAGTGGAATCGAGATTGCTGGAAGCATAAATCATCATGCATCTTCTAACTTCAGCAAAGTGTGTTCCTAGAGAAGTACACCTAAGAACTCAAGTAAAACAGATATTTCCACAACGATAAATTCTCACTATGAAAACCCTTCTCCAATGTGAGCAACATGTACAGCATGCACTAAAGGTTAGTAAAGCAAATTTATGTATTGTTGCTGTAGTCTTATCTTTCCATCTTAACTCTACAGTGTTGATTTCCATCTTGCAAGCTTAAAGACTTACTTGTAATGTTAAAGCATAAATTAAAAAAACACTGAAGCCCAGATCACCATGGTTTTTTGGAAAAAAAAAAAAAAAAAAAAAAGCATTTTAGACCAGGGTAAACCTCTGTGTGTTCACATGCACCAAAAGCTGAAAATCTATCAACACAAGGAGCAAGCAAGTATGACAGCTTGAAATCCAAAAGTTAATAGAACTTATGCAGAAGAAGCTTCACAGTTAGCCACTGCAACCATAGCATGTGCCACAGCTAGAAATTAAAAAACATCATCAGTTACCAATTACAGAAGTAGATCAGTACTATGCATCAGAAGTAAGTCTCTCTTTATCAGATGGCTGAGCATGGATCTCAGCCTTGTGATATGTGGCATCGTAATGATCTTTCTTATTTCTCTTGAAGAAACCACACTACAAGGAAGCAAGGTATTTAGTCATTTTTTGTGGACTGGAAGAAGTCAAACCTATTAAAACTGACTTAAGTTTGTCAGCTGTCTTCCCATTATCCCTTCACAGGCCAAAGAAACAAAAATAAAAAAGTCATCACAAGAACTCAGCTGTTTCTAGATCTGAGAACTTCATGGGCTAACTTGATCTATACAATGACAGAATAAAATAACCTGGTTATTAACACACTAACCTGAGAATATTATTTCAGAGACATTTTGATAAATTTGTAGAGAATCTGGGTTTTTTTTAAGAAAAGCTACAATAATGTCACAGCAAGTGAATGTGGCTGTGAAGAGCAGAAAGAAGCCTATACAGAAACCTGTTTGTGGACAACTGCACGGGACAGACAAAACCACAGGGTGCAGAAGAAAACCAGTTACTGCTTTGGCCCCTTCAATATAAGCTTTTGTCTTAAACCAATGATGTATCTGTCTTTCCAGTATGATGTTTGTCCTTCATAGAACATCACAGTCTGTGTCATCAAAACCAGCATTTTTCACTGTGTGTGCATGTGAAAAATGTTTGTTATTTTAATGCACAGTAGAACACTAGTAGTTAGAACCTAACAGCCTACCCAGTATACATTCATCAAGAGTATTTACAGGAGCAGCTGGGCATTATTTAGAAAATAAGGAAATCAGGACTATTCTATAGGAAGAAACTTGCAGCAAATAGCTCCTCAAAGCTAACTGCTGCAGTTTCACTGGGAAAAAAAAGTGACAGATAGGATATTCTTCACCTCCTCTTCCATAATAACCTGCTGTCCCATAACAGCAAATACTAACTGCCTACACCTATAAAAACTACAAATAAAAGGATTGCTCTGTTATACTTGGGACCAGAAATAATTGGCATTTTTACAAAGGTAATTAGAAAAAAGATACTTGATTTTTTCTTTTGCAAATAGTTAACCATTTGTTATACCTCTTTATTTATTTCTTTAAGGTTTCTAACATAAAAAAGCAATAATAAGAAATTCACCAGCACACATGGCTATGTATTAATACTGTGCTTTTGGTTATTTCTATCTACTATCAGTTTAATGGTATTTCTGACGTTATGAGAACAGCGCCCTACTAAAACATTTGTATATAGCTCACATGACATTTTACACCTAACTGCAGAGGGTCCCAATGGTTCCATCCATCTGTATCAAACTGTGGCCTCTGAACATTTGTCTCAAGTTTCATCTGGAGCTCAAAATACTTCCTTTTGAGGATGTGAAAACGGAAACATTATGTGACAAGTCTGCGTGTACAACCATTTTCATTCCAAGTGTTGCAAAACTGAGAAACTGATAATGCATGATTTGTGCAGTTTTGCCCTATTTTGAGTCCCAGATACTTAATTAGTTTGCTATCTTGTCAGTTATAGACTGGAAAATAAGAAATAACCACATTAATAAAAGCTCACCTTCCATAGTAAGAATACCAACAGTGCAAGCATGAGTATTCCAGCAAGGATAGCCACCGCAATGATCCACCATGGAACTCCTGTATAAAGGGCCACTGGTTTTGCAGGAAATACAGTAACACGCACCTAGGGACAGAAAATGTGCAGGTGGAAGGAGTATTTTAGAAGGTACATGTTTCATTAGAAAGCTGCAATTTATACAATCTTACCTCCCCTCTAACAAGATGTCTTCTACAAAATGCTTTTAAAGAAAAAATTCCCTCTGGTATCATTTGATTATGGTAATGAATTTTTTCAACCCAATTAAAAGGTAGAAATTATCAATAATTGAAAACTCAGTTAGAAAGTTAAACTTTTAGCTAGTTTTGTTTTAAATTTTTTTAATTCCTGGTCTTTGGAAATAAGGTTAGAACAACCACAACCATAACACGTGGTTAGCATAAACACTGAACCTACCTGAGCAACTTCATTTGTGAGTTTAACATTCTTAGCTGCAGCAGGAACACTGATAGAAGCCCTAACAACAATGTCAAGGTAATTCATTTTTGAGTACTCCTGTTCCAAAATAAAACACAAATATTAGACCCAGAACAGGAAAGAACTCTAACCTTTCAAAAAGGGCAGGTAAGAGGACTTACCTCTAAGAAGGTGCTGTTCCACAGCCTGGAACGCAGCACAATAGATGCCTTGCTGTCTAAACCCTTCAGGGGACACTTTATATCCACACAGCGTGCATTCACATTGCAGCTCTGCAATTACAGATTTCTACATGTGAATAAGATCAAGTCTTCACAGATTGCTTAAACCTCACTCCAAGATTAAAGATTGGATTATATGCATCATACCTACATGCAAGAACCACTAACTGTTTGTACTGACAGCAATGGGAAAATATAATGAAGATGTTATTACTTGCTTATTTTAAGGTAAGTAACTATGCAGATATTCTCTCCTAGTTCTTCCTCACAGCAGATGATCTAAATGTTCAAATTTTAAAAGCATCAATATTTGGATATAAGATAAATAGAAGGGAAAGAGAATTTCTTTCACTCTGCCAAACTCAGAAAAGCCCTCTTTCGAGGGCCAAGAGAGGTATCTGACAAGAAGACAGCTGTTGCAATATCCTTACCAAGGTCTTGTATTTTCTTTCTGAGAATAAAGAAAATGCCTGGCTGTCTGTAATCTGCTTCTCTGCAACTTCACGTTTTCTTCTTGAGTTATGGGATTCCTACAAGGAAAAAAAGTAAAAAACTAAAACGCAGTTTATCATAAGAATTTTGAAATTCATACAAGCAGAGAAACTAGAGCTCAGTGTTTTTTTCTTTCAAAATCAGCACGACTGACAGCATTATATATCTCTACTTACCTATATTTACTGGTAAGAATAAAATTTGAGATTACCAAAAGAAAGGCCAACAGACTATTTTCTTTAATAGGGCAAGCAGAGGTTTAGATTCATAAAGCTTTCAATGCTATTTCCATTTATATTTCTAGATAAAGGGTATTAATGGTTAAAAGAGTACGAATGTGCTAAGGTCAGTAGATACAGGTTTTTTAACTATATACTAATTACACTCCAAGTTATATTAACTAATACAATGATCTGACAAAAACAGGTTTATGTGCATGCAGTTTTAATGGTGGAAAATAAAAACTCCTCCCATATAATCTTAAGATTATATGAAGAAGGAAAAAATGCAGCTTAAGTTTTAAGGAAAAAGATTTTGCTAGATAGGCACAATCCAGGACAATGAAAATTGCTTTTTATTATAATTGTTGTAAATAAATAAATTTAAGTTCAAGCCCCTTGTCTTCAAAAAAAGAACATGGAATGCCCCTAGGCTGGGAAGATATTTCGTTATTTATTGTTTTTTGAGTAAGAACTCAGGTGTTTTTATTACTGAGCAGTTTTCAATAATACTGATGAAATTTGTTAGAACAGTCAGCAGTTTCATCCTGTATAAGAGCCTATTACAGCAGTGCCCATTGCAAAAACAGTCATTGTGTCATAGCATCTATCCTTCAGCATATCAGCTCATTAGCTGTTATGAATTCTCCTGATAGCCTTATTCACTGATACACTGGTCATTTATTGTGCTTGTGAGCTGCTTCAGATAAACAGTAACTTCTTCTAGAGGCAAGCTCTCATGCCTTACTCTCACTTGCTGTGGTGTGCTTCCATGTTGCACCAATTCACCAACAGAAGACAGGGTAACATACCGCAACATGCAAACTGTTGATTTCATTCTCGGGTTGACAGGAGACTTTTTCCAAGCCTTTGGAGTCTATTTTCATCAAATAAAGCAGCCATTTGCCATTACTAATTTCTTTTGGCCACTGGATGTCAAGGGAAGCAGTGCCAAATGTTTTCAGTGGTCGGCCCAAGTTAGTTACCTGTTAAAAATAAACATTCTTTAAACTGTGAAATACTTTTCAGAGGGATTTAGTTCCTGAAAACACTATTGACTTGGACAAGTTTTAGTTGTTGATTTTTAGAAATTAATCTTTGTGTGAAATGACAACTCAAATTCAGTGTTAACAAATCAGTCAGTTGCGTAACTGAGGCAAACTGCAAGTTTCTGATGAACTCTGACACAGAGAACAAGCTCTTGCTCTTGTAAGTCTGGAAGTTTTTTCCCAACCTCTTTTTTTTTACTTCATTAGTGTTACTGATCATGCTAGCAAGGTCTAAATCAGATATTTTAACTGCTGCTGCTATAATACATGGACCAGGTAAAGAAAGAAGTAGAGATGGACTTTAATTTCTCTTAGTCATTTCCTTGCACTTACTCTGTGCTCAGCCTGCTCTTGCTGCCTGTGTGTACCAGCCAAGCCTGGGCCGGCCCCAGGCAGGTTCTGCTTTAACTTTGTTCCCTCCCTGGGGGGGCTTTTATACCTGACAACTGAATGTGCATGAACTGCTCCAAAAAAAGTGTGCAGGCAACCTCAGGCAGTTCCTCAGAATACGATCATAAAATATCAAGGCCTAAAGAGGCTTTAGCCCGCAGTCAAACTGCACATTCTGAACAGGAAGTCAGGATTTTGGGACAAAGAAAGTAAATTTCATTATAGCAACTTTTCTGAGTGTTCATATGCATAAAGCAATAAGCTGTGCATTTGATTAAAAACAGCTGTTGGCATTAATCTAAATTACTCACTCTGAATTCATACTCTATGAGGTTCCCAATATCATCTTCAGATTTCATTGCACTCTCGCCAATGATGTTACCTCCAAAATATACCTGAGAAGGCTTAGCAACTCTGTTCAGGCGGGGGTGGGAAAGGAGAATAATCAGATTTTAATGAGTCTGAAGCACAACTGTCCCCAGACCCCCCAATCTGTCATGCTATCCTCACTTACCCAGTGAGTGATAAAAGCAATTCAAGAACCACTTTAGCACTAGCAGTAATTGGAGTCAAATTAACTTGAGTGCTTGTTCTACAATGAAAAGGAAACAATGGTGTTTATTTTACAAATTTAGTGATTTTAATATACTATTAAAATTACCTCTGTGAATCAAACAAATAAATTCAAAATGTCTACAACTGTATATCAAAGCAAAGTGCAGGTGCGTGCACATGAAGAAAACTTACGTTTCCAGTTTCAGGTTAATGTCTAAATCTGTTGTATCAACATTAACCTTAGTGGTACTCAAGATCAGAAAAAAGGTTACCTAAACAAGAAAGAAGATAATAAAATACATGAGCTCTTTATAAGATATATTGATACATTAAATGTTATAGACAATTTCAGTATTAAGTTCTAGAGTTAAAAAGACAGATCCAAATTAAATTTCCAGTTGCGACACACAGGACCTTTGGATGACTGCAGTCAGTCAGAATGAGATTGTACAACTAGAGTAAAGTGCAACTTACATTAGAATTTCTTTTGAAAGGATTTCCAAGTTCACACTCTGCTTGAGAACCATTTTGGTTAGCGCCACATGTTAGCTGTTTTTCCTGATTAAACAGAACACATTTACAAGTAAAAATGTGCTGGAAATATTTTAAATTTTTCAGTATTTTTTCTCTTAAAAATACTTACAGGATAACCCCTCATCTCTCTGAATGCAGAGTATGTCAGACTGTCTGGGAAAGTTGCAATTAGTTTAGCTTCATATGCATCTTCACCATCTTTCTGTGGATTTTTAACATCAGATGGATTGTTTGTCACAGTTATTTCCAGGGCAATATCTTTCTGGTCTTTTAGAACAAGCACTGGCATGCCATTTTCACTACAGAAACAGAATGTACAGGGTTCTGTGCATTAGGAAAACAAATGTGTATGCAAGTTTGCTTCTTATGATTGTTTATCCAAATCCAATTTCCTCTTATTAAGGAAGAATTATAGTAAAATTATGAACATGCATAGTCACAGGGTTTTTCCCCCACACCAGTATTTCATCTGACAGCGGCCAGTAGTGAAGAGGAAGAACAGGATGATAAATCCCTCAAGTAATGAGGAGTTTATGGTATTTCTGAACCAGCACTTGCATCTGACTCATGTAGTAATGAATTTTCTCCAAATCAATCTACTGACCTGCTTTATTCTTGTAAAGCATACATGGGTTTGGCTTCCGAGTGTGGCACTCGCTGCTAAAAATGTCTGCTGGCAGTAAATAAACGTTTGTTTGTTTGTTTGTTTTACCCCTGCTCGAATTTCACTGGCCCTCCAGGAAGGAGGGATGCAGCAAAGGTGCTGGGCATGTGTTAAAATTAAATCATCACTGCATTTCTCTGTAACAACTTCTCTTGGGCTATGAGACCATACTCTATCAAGCTGTCATACAGTCAAGTTTCATCTGCAAAATAATTAACTGTGTCACACAATAAACTACTGCAAGGCTGGTTTAGAATATAATTTCTCCAGGTCTTAAATTGGTTTGGTTTTTTTTTTTCTTTTAGACCACCCTTGCACTATTATGGCCACTTAGTACCCATTCAACTCTGAACTACTTCTTCTCAAGCTCTTCCCCTCTGCCCCCATTCCTCACCCTGACAAATCAATACTACTACCAAGGGCTGTGTTTGCCAGACACAGAAAAAAGCTGCTCTCTTTCCCAAAATCCTCTCCTAAAAGTTCCTTTAAGGACTTTTTAATAATTTGAACTTTAGAAGTGCATTAATTGAGACTTACAGTGGTAAATAAGTAAACCTGTCTTCATTTCCCTCTCTCGTACAAAACCGGTACTGAAGCTTAAGATTGCTGTGACATTCATTGTCTTCTCCACATCCTTCTTTTAAGAACTCCACCTAAATAAAACCAAACCAATTTTACCACCTGACACACAGAACAGTAGCTTAAAATGAGCCTTCTGAAGCACACTGAATGAAGCATCTACATGGTACTCACAAGGCACTTTCCTGGACAGAGTTCAGATTTTAACCTGACTTAATTCTTGCCTGTTGAGTTTTGCTTTGTGAGATACAGCCCTTGATGCTGGTAGTTTAGAACTTTAAATGTGACTAAAAAGGACAGTTGGATATTCTAAATGAGAAGTACACTTCTTATGAGAAAATACATCTTTCAGTCTGATTCTTCAATAAACACTGAGGAAATGAGAATTTTTAATGGAGTTATTCCCTCCCTTCTATGTCACTGCTGCAGTCATTACTCAAATGCTATTCCAGCATCCTAACAGTGGAAGAATTAAGAATGTACATATCTTGTTATGTTGGACAAATGTTCCCAGCAGGGGACAATGAATTTCTATTTTTAATCAAAAGTACATTTCCTCCTAAACTTATTGGGGAGAGGGAAGAAACTGAGGAGCTATATACCATCTTCACTTTTGATGCAGAACACAGTACATAGTTCATAACATCTTGTAACAAGTTCAGAACAAAATATAGTAATCCAATAGTTACATGTCCAGTGCCACCCCAGTTATTTCCTTTGGACATAATTTAGTTTTCTACAGTCTTTTAATTATTAATTATTTTAAGTTATTTGTAGAAGCGCAGATTTTTGTGAATATGTGATACCAAAGGCTTACTTTTGTGGTCTCTGTTTCAGATTCATTTGAATTTAGAATTGGTGTAAGATCTGGAAGTGCACTCTCTTTTCTCCTGGATGGTGACTCCAGGCCCGCAATTTTAACACTGACTGATATTGGAATGGGACGCAGCTTATCTTTAATTTTTTCCTGTTAAAATATTTTAAATTGCATCATTAGTATACAGTGCAGAGGAAAAAAAAAAAAAAACAACACAAAGGTGAGCTTTTGTACTCTATGTAAATTCAGCATTTTCTAAAATCAGGAACACAAAGAGCCCAGCACTATTGTCTTTTTTTCCCCTCTGGTTTCCCAATCTGAAAATTTCTCTCACCATTAAGAATTCCATGAACCACAGACAGTAGTTCAGGCAGGTGAAATTCACACAGCTATAGTAAAATAACACACTGGAACAGGTTTGAGTAACATGGTCTAGTAAAAGGTGTCACAGCCCCTGACACAGGAGTTGGAATTAGATGATCCTTAAGGTTCCTTTCAACCCAAACCACTTTATGATTCTATTCTATAAATTAAAGTTCTTTAATCTGCTGTGATCAAAAGCAGCCTTGGAGGCTGCTGAGCCATGGAGAGGGAATCTGTTTAGCCTCTGGAGCAGGACCACCTCTAGGCACCACTACAGCAGCCAAGTCAAGAGAGCATATACCAAGCTTCCTTGCCTTGCCCATTCGTCCACTCCAAAACCCATGGGATGAAATTCTTTTCCTGAACAGTCACACCATACAATTCTGTAACAATTATCTCTGCTGGAAGCAGCTCTCTGTTTCTGGAACTTAGTCCCTCTCTATTGTTCTAAATTAGTTCAGCTCTATTGACCTCCAGAGTGTGCTGCACTGGCTACAGTTTTTATCCATACTTTGCAAGAAAGACAACAGGAGGAAGCAGCAAGTGTGCAGAGAATAGTAAACTATGGTGGGTTCTTATTTTTGAAGTCTTTATTGCATATGACTTTGAAATTATGTACAAAATTATATAAAAAGGTTCCTTCCATGAGGCTGCTTAAAAAAAGAGCATTCTTTTTTTTAAGTGCATCTAAATGAAAGATAAATAAAATCCTCTCCCTTACCTGCAGTATAAGCTTTGTAGTCACACACTCCCATGAGTTCTGTCCCCTGAGGGTTGTACTTGCAGTGAACTGATCAGATGAGTGGTCATTGAAGCGCACCCGGGAGGGCAGGCCCAGCTGCCGCCTCTCGTTTTCCACTTCAAACGTGTAATTGATCTCTATGTGAAAAAATAAAGTAGGTTACTATAAAAAAAAAGAATCATTGCCATTTTAAAACAACTTTAATTTCACAAGATACGATCTTAAGCATTATTCTAGAAGACTGTTCCAGACAGTGCTGGGCTTCATAAACTGTTTTCAGTCATTTAAAAAAAAACTTCCTCCATGTCAGTTTTGTCCTGCCACAGTTGAGGGCCAAGTACCCCGTGTGTGAATCTAAAGAAAATTTCTAAACCAAGTCCTGTTAGTCCGTAAGTAAACCGTTCCTTTGGGCATGCGGGACTGGCTGGGGGGCTGTAATTGCTGTACGGAGCCAGCAGAGGGCTGAGCTACCCACTGCAAATACCCCAACTGCGCTGTAAGGGATTCCTGCTGCGTCCCAAATGGCACCTGAGAGACAGCAGGATTCGGTCAAGATACACTGGTAATTTGAACACTGAAAGCATAAGTACAACTAGAGCTGTCCAGTTGTGTGCTGAGGCATGTATTCCTAGATCTGAACTTGGTGCATCTTTTAATGATTGCTTCACTGAGCTAATTCAGTGCTGCACAGACGGAAACAGCGCTGAGCGTGCCAAGGCACTGAGAGCTGCAAGCACTTCACCTGCTAAAGGACCAGCACTCATTCGGGCACAGCCTTTGGATTTTAAAAATAACTGAGGAACTCAAGACAACACAGGAGAAAAAGGGTTATTGGGCTTAAAGTTCTTCTCATTTCCTCTCAAAATCCTACACAGTTCTCCAAGAGGTAGTAACTGCAGCAATGTAACAAGTGCTTTACATCTTTATGGCACAGTGTTCCAGTCTTATCCTATTAACGCAGACTTTTTTATTTCAGTTAATGATTTGCACAAAACCATTTTCATGAATACAGGATACATTCATAGAGTAAGCCTCCAATAAGAAATAATGCTCACTAATGTACAAAATTGGCCTTAAAATAGATTTACAGTTCTCTAAAGAAGCACTAACCTAGAGAGACAAAATGGTTTGGGTCTGTATAGAAGCCATTTGCTCACTGGCAGTTGTATTACTTAGAAAGCTTTAGTCTGTCATCCACAGAACAGCTTAACACACCAGCATGACTCTAAATTCAGACTGTGCAACAGCTGAGCTTAGCACTGAGTCACATTTTAAATTTGTCAGTCACTGTCTGAGTCACTATAATTTGAGTAATATGTTTCCATGATGAATTCTAAAAAAAAAAAAAAAAAAAAAAAGCCCAAAAAAAAAAACCATCTGACAAACAGATCAAAAATATTTATCTTCAGAACTTACTTATTCTTGGATTTAAATGTCTGGGGTTTGCAGTATATTTAAAACATGCTTTCACATCCATCCTGTAAAAAGTGCAAAGAAATTAGTATTAACTTTTATTAAGGCATGGTCCAACAGAACGAAACATTTTAACTGATCAGTCTTACCACACATTATGACTGTGGTATTTACTGCTTACTAGACTGAATTATAAAGCAAGAAAAAAATGTTAATAAGCGATTAAGCATTTGCTCTTATGTTTCTACTCAAGACAAAGCTGTTCAAGCCAAGATACTTGTGTTAGAAGTCTGAAGAGGCAAGGTGACATTCATTTTCAAAAATGAACATTATGAGAAGGACATATTCCACACCTTGTCTTTAGCACAGCAGCCTGAAGAAATTCAGGAAGTCAGAATTAACATATGCAGATGCCTTTCCTTAACCTGCATAACTCTCACATCCCTTCACTTAAACATATCACTGAATGAATTTTAACAGTAGAAAGCTCAATACAAAGGCTTCTGATAGAGTAATTTCTTTCTTCATTTACCTGATTTCACCATGGTCCTCAGGGTTCTTTTTCTTTAGATCAATTCTATCAGGCTGTACTGTAATGTTTCTTCTAATGCTTATCACAGGCCGAGATCTTCATTTGGGGGAAAAATGGGGAATAAAAAGAAGATGTAAAAAAAGAAGTAATTTCTGTTAAGATTAATGAAATAATTAATGTGAAGATCAGATTCCCTCCACACCTGCACTGATTTGCAACAAAGACACTCCAAGAAATACAGAGTTTGGCTTTGACACTGGTTAGAAAAAAAACCTGAAAATTATTAAAAGCTAAGCAAAGGTCACCAAGAACAACTACAGATCCTGAGGGGAAAGCAGGCTACACTAATGTGATGTTGTTGTTGTCTTTCTACAGACTTACGAAAAACAGAGAATTCAGTGGTGGTTTCTACCACCAGTAGTAATTCAGCTCCTGGGACCAACTATAGGTTCTACAGTTCATTCAGATTCATGTTCATAAGAGCTTTGATTTTTTTATTTCCTGCTTCCTCTGCATGTAGGCTGTAACCATACTTCTGCCTGACAACTTGTCTTTTCTCTTTAATGGAAGTGAGAAGATATTTTACATGAAGGAACAAATGAGCTGATCCTGTTCTCATTAAAGCATCGAAAGGTTGTTTAAAATAGCTGGTAAGTCACCTGCTCCCTTTAACTGAGCCACTCCTTTCACTGTTTGTCACCATAAGAGGTTTTTGTTCTCACCTTGGTAAAAGTTTTTGTCCTGCCTTTATCAGCAAAAGATTAAAGCTCCTTTGGAGTAAGCAGAATGCTAAATAATCTGACCAACTCCTCTACCACCTACTCTGTTCTCTTCCACAAGCCATGTGAGTTGCTTTTCTCAGGCGCTGTTCCAGTGTATTTAAGAACATTACTATCATGTGCACACCAACTATACACCTTAGAGATGGGAGCATAAATTGTAGGAAGGGCTGTTCTGCCTGAAAAGTAAAGCTGTTTGTCCCAAAGCCCTGGTGTAATTAATTAAGGTTCCATATATAATACCTGTACACATTTACAGAATCTGACAGGGAACCAACAGCAACATCAGGGTAGGAATTTTTATCCAGGTCCATATTTCCAGCAATAGAGTAGCCAAAGAAATTGGTGTTTGTTTTTTCACCATCAAGAATCTAAAAAGCAAACAGATTGAGGGAATTCAGACATTTAAAAGTGATAAAGGTAAAATAAGTAACAAGTGCACATTAACTGTCTTACAGCCAGAGACAAAAGAGGGAGAGAGATACAATGAAATAGGACCTGTGAAATAGGACCTCTGTATTCAGTACAGCTAAAGGATACTGAAGTGCCAGGATGATTTGCTCTTCTTCCAAGAAGTTACTTGGCAATAGAAGTGAGTACCAGAAATTACTGATCTGCTGAGAGTGTAGTTCATCTTCATTTACAGTATTTATGGACTATAAACACTTGAAACAGAAGTAGTATTCTGTAAAGTATTCAAGCAGTATTCTAGGGAGTATAATGAAGTTCCATTCCCACCCTGCAAATTGGACATAGTGACCCTCAAAACAAAACAAAACCAAAACCAAACCAACCAACAACAAATAACCAAACATTTTTAAGAAGGAAGTGAAATAGTAGTAATGAAAGAAAGAAACAAAGAAACTACTAGTTTTCACATCACCAGATTTTTTTTTTAAACCCAGAATTTATTTATCTATGCATATTTTTCCTTCTGCACATATTATTGGTGATAATGGACAGCCCCAGAAATAAAAATATATATTAATATCAGGAACTCCTAATCTTTCCTGTCAGCAGTGCAATCTTTGAAGGGCCCTGTGACTTTCCTGTGCACCCAACACCCCAGTAATAGCAACGGAAAGGAAGATGGATAGTAGCCCTGTCATTGCTTTAATTTTGTTCAAGAATAATTATATAATTACATAGTAAAGGTTATTTCATTACCTGTGCTGGCTTTGTATTTATTCCATTCTTGGATCCGTGATAAATGTATACTTTGCCAAAACCATCATATGGAGCCCCTACCGCAATATCTGGTGAAAATAAGTTGTAACATCTAAAATCATTCTTGTTCTTTCTGCAGCATGCAATCAAAGGGTAAGACGTTGCAAGTCTGGCATTGGCTAGACAATCTCACACATTTTTATTGTCATTGTTTTCCATTTACCTGGATATCCATCCTGATTAATGTCCCCAACATTTTCTACTGCAATTCCAAACATGGAGTCAGTGGTTCCGTTTAAGCGAAGAGGCTTCACCCCTGCCCATTTGCCTTGGCGGTTCATGTAGACGTACACGGCACCCCCAATATCCCCGCTTCTGTCAAAGTACTGCGGGGCCCCAACAACGATGTCCTGCCAGCTTAGAGTTAAAAGAGAAAAAAAGGCAATGCTTTTGTAGAAGAACTCTGAAGAATAACTGTTCAGACTGTGATCTCAAGATCAGCTGCCCAGAGAGCTGCTGAAGAAAGACTAAAACGTGCATTAACTGGTTAGGCATCAACAGCCCCACTGACACTGCAAGCTGGTTTATTCCCTTAACAGCATACAAAGACCTTCTATGGTCTTCTTGGGGTAGGAGACTGGTTTCTTTTTTCTCTGTTTACAGTAATTGTTTAAATAAAACTCTTTATTAGAAAGGTGGACTCTATCCTGATTGATTCTCAAGACGCTCACCATTTCCTCCAGGAAAGCATGGAAGGTGGGCTTTGTCATTCTTTATATTTCTAATGTGAAAAACCAAAGCAGAAATAAACAAGATCACTATCCTTTACTATACAAGCAGCAGGAGTTAACCACAGCCATACCCATCACTGTTGAGGTCCACAACAGCAACATCATAGCCAAAAGAGGAAGCCAGCCCTTCTCCTTCAAACATGTGCTCCAGGGAAAGTGCTCTCTGATTTTTTTCTTTTTTTAGTAAAACAACTGCTCCGCTGTGGTTTGCTCTTGGGGCACCAGACACAAAAGTCATCTCATCTTGGGAGACAATTCCTTTACCAGAGTCCAAAGAGAAACCTTTAACAGAGAAAGAAATAAAGTATAAATTAACTGAGTAGCAGCTTGCATCGTAATATGAAAAAATTACATTTCCCCAGCTATATTAAAGTGGTATATGGAATACAAGTTTTGTCTAAAATACAGTGTGCTATGGCTGGGAATTCCCCTTTTCTGTTTGCACTGGTGGATGTGTATTTGCAAGTCAACACTTTTGTATGTTCCCACAAACACTCCTCCACACATTACAGTTAGTATTTCCCCACAAAACACAGTACTTCATTGCTCACTTGGACCTGCTTTTCACGGACACCAAACACAGGATACGTACAGCTTGGACACAATTACAGCTTTACCACTTGAATATAGCTTGAGTACTTCACCTCTGGCAAAATTATCAGAAAACCTCCTAAGTAAAGTCAGTATCGTTCTATTACAAACATGCAAACTGTTCTGCACAAGCATTCTCATATGAATGATGTATGCAGTATTTGAGAATCAGCTTACACAGTAATGGTGAAATGAGCAATTTTAAGTTAATGCAGCCCTAAAAATGGCATGTTCAAATTAATTTAGTCTTACAATACATTTTAAAATATGAAAAACCAAGTTAATAGACAATACTGCATATACCAATATAGCCAGTAAAGGCCAAAGTAGAAAAATGCCCATTTTGCAAGGAAGGAAGATACCAGCCAGATGGGAGTCTCCCTCTGAAACACTTCACCACTACTATGGAAATTCTCAATTACAGCAATTCACAATGAGACAGTTCCAGAAAAAACTGAGGGCGTCTCAGCTGGGGGAAGGATGAGAAGGTTTGGAGAAGTGCATGATAAATCATAATTTCTCTGAAGCCTTGTTACTTTACTGTCTCCCCTTTATCTGAATCCCTGTTTCTTTCATGCTTTACTTATAATATATTCGATATGAGAGGGGATAGAGGGGAGAGGATCATGACAAAGGTCTGGAGATTAAGTCTGACCAGATGCTGCCACCTCAAGTGGTCACAAACCTAAGTAGCTATTCATCATTACATCCACTGACTTGTCCACCTGTATGCTGGGAGGCAATGTTTTGTACACAAACTGATCTGGATGAGTATCAGATACAGCTGTCAAAAATAGAAGACCTATAAATATGAGTGAAAGATTGAAGAGAAAAAAAAAAGTAGTTAAGCAAAGCACCTATAACCACATTTGCTTACGGTCTAAACAGACAGAACAGTCATGCCTGGGATGAGCTGGCTTGCCTGGAAGTGGTTCTGATTATTACAAATCAAGGCCGCATTTACATTTAGGAGATAAATGCATTGGTTACACAACTGGAAAAAGAGTGTATGACTGTTCACAGCAAAAGGCATCGGCCTCCACAGCACTTCTCAATGCTTATTCCACCAGAAGATGCTATCAGCTTGTCTAATCTAAGCTCTTAGGATGATTTTTCTAGTTACCTTTACACCCAGTAATTACTGCTGATACTTAACAGAAGTTTATGTTCTCTTTCTCTAACATATATGTAGCTCTAAGTTTCCTCTCTTCTTGACTTGCTTTTTTACTTTTTACATCAGCAATGTCTTTCCCATCTATTCAGCTTTCCATCACTCACACAGAAATTCCAGTCTCAGGTTACCAAAACTCTATTTGTTGCATATGCCAAAAGCAGTGGATCAACACACCACAGAAATCTGCACTGGAACAGAAGGATTCTTTACACTTAATGCCTTTCCAAAAATGAAGCATAGCCTTTTCAGTGGATCTCCCTGGTGTACACCAAGGTCATTGGCCTAAGGACATATTCCTGCTTTCCTGACTGCACAAAGAGCAAGAGATTCACCTCCTGCAACAGACACACAAGTAAAATATAAACAGTATTTATATTATGGCATTTTAAAGGTCTGTTAAAAGCCACTGGAGTTTTAAAAACATGAAGAACAGAAGAATTGCACTTACCTACCAGGAGAAAAAAATCTACAACCTTAACAGTTACTTAACAGAAACTCAAATTTTTAAAACTTTCTGATACTACATAGCAGAGACTGTGTAACTAAGGTCTACAGACCCATTCATTGTACTGACCCATCACAGTGATTATAATCACTCCTGGAGATTCCACAGGCTCTAGGCACAGCTCTTGAATCTCACATTACAGCAGCAGCTCTTCTAGGTACCTCAGCAGTATCATCTTACACTTAAAACTGGCCCATAAATGTGGAGAGAGGCTGTGAATTATCCCAAAGAGTTAACATGTTACAGGTCCGCAATGGAACATCTGCTCCCGTTTCAGATCATCACACCAGGCTGGGATCACAAATGTTTAAGAGACCTAAAGAGATCTACCACATGTACTTAATCCTACCTAAGTAACTGTTAGCTGGAACAGGAACTAGGTTCTTATCCTGGCGGCTCTCATCACCAACTTCGTAAGGCCCATCATCAAAGATACCCAGATCATAAAATGTCTGATTCTTTTGCTCTGCACGAACCACCCCTGAAAAAATGAAATGATAAAATAAAAGCAAACAAATGATAAGTGAGAAAAATAATAAATGAATGTTCCCAACTTATATTAATTATGATGAATGACATAGTGACTGCTGTTAAAATGGGACAAACACAGAATAGTGCACTGGGTTAGTGTTTTGTCTCTGTTCTGTGTGCCAGAAGCTCATGCTGCTCTACAAAGAAGCCATACAAGGATCTGGAAACATGGGATACTAAGGAAATTCTCAAAAAAACCCCCCACTGAACTGGTTGGTCATAAACCACCCTCATCCTGTATTTCTTAGCCTTATAAAGCTTCTCTTAAAAAGGAGGTAATCACGCAGGAATTTTTAAAAAAATTACATTTCATTTTGACAAACACCACCATTATACTTAGAAACAGTACATTTAAGAAGAAAAAAAGCTATTGTTCAATAAAAGGTGTGCTTCCCTTTTATCAATTGGCATAATTAAGGTTTTGGCAAGCACAAACATGTTTTTCCATTACACAGAAGAGTACTGTTAAGATTGTACTAGCACTTCTCTGCAATTAAACTAAAATGTTGTCTGCACTCAGCATGCTGTTTCAGGTCAGTCAGATTTTGTTGACAGATACGTGGAAGATTAAGTTTTCACTAAAGTACACCTTGTGCCAGAGCTTAACACACTGATTTTGCACGGTTCATACAGCAGGCACAGGTGTACGAGGGGGAAAAATGCAGTGCTTGGAGGATCACATGTTCTCAAGAGGAAAGTATTTACAGCTGTTGGGGTAATGAAGTGTGATGGGAAAAATTACTTCTAGAGACTGAACTGGGCATTTAGATGCTTCTGAATGTCAACTAACAAAGAATGTCCACGGTTTATTTCCCCTTATGTTTTGGAGAATCTCCTAGATGACACAGAGTACTTGGCTCTTAGATTATCCATGAAATTTTACATGGACATGCATGGATTTAGATATGAATATATGTAATATTGCTGTTATCTTCCTGCAATCCTTCAGTATTTATTTTGGAAAGTACTGGCTTCCACAAACTTCACAAATAATAAAGGAGAGAATATTGCAGAATAAACAAAGAGTTCAGCAGCTATCTAACATTTGCTCAAATGCAGAAAAAGGGCTGGCCAAGTAACTCATACAAAGTTAGTAGTTTGTTCCTGTATGGAAGTGTCCAAGTAAGCCCTCAATCCCACTAATAAGGGAAAAATTTGCTGTACATACATGCAAAGTTCCATTATTCATAAATACACACCAAGATATTTAAAGAAACTTCAGTAAATGTTAATACAGAAGCATAGCATCTTGTAAAAACAGGGTAAAATCATTACATCCCTATTATCAACTCTCCCCTAAATAAATAATTGAAACTCTGGATGCAACCTTTGAGAGCAATCTCAGAGGAAATGGGAAGGGTAGGCAGAAAGGAAGCCAAGTCATACCTTTCCAGTTGTAAGTGCCTGGGGCACCAAACACAATATAATGATAGTCTCTAGTAAAAGTAGCAGCAACACCTTGCTGACAGGAACCAAACTTCTCGTGGCCTCTTAAACGACCGTCACAAAAGCTCCACACTCCATTATCCATATCATCCTTAATAGTGAGGTCCTGGCTCAGCACATAGCACCTTCCAATGATATCCCGGGTTTCCTGCACTGTGTTTACATACTGCCTTTTCTCATAGCGATGCGCACACGTCTGCAAGACAGAAGAAATAATGTTGATGTTTCTGTGTGTGGGACATGGGTCACCACAGAAGGCAGGGCTCCTCCAGCAGTCCCTCCTGCTACCAACGCTGTAAGGCACCCTGCAGACACACCTAAGTGCAGAATCCAATGTTTTCTACAGGCAACACATGGGAAAGGTTGGGCACCGACCTATACAAGGCAAAGCAGTCTGCTTCATGGTCAAGGAAGGCCACAGGGTTAAATCCCTAAAGCCCTTCCTGATACTAAATCCCTCTCTTTCAAGAAGTAAGGAGAAAACCACCTTCTCTCAAAGAAAGAAGTGGCTGTTTCCCAACAGCTCTCAAAGGACTGACACACCCATGCAGGACACAAGAAGCTGGTTCAACTACCATCTACCCAAGACTATTCAGAACTTGCCCCTTACAGAAAAGTGCCACTAAGCAGAGGCTGAAAGCTTTTCCAGTGGAGGGGAGGGAAGTTGCTTCTACTTCCTCTGTTGGATGTTCCACTTACAGGGTAAATGTCACTGGAGCAGAGCTGAAGCACTAAACACATCCTGTTCCTTATTCTTTCAGACTACCCCTGGGAAAAGAATTCTCATCAAATATTTAACACAAAGGACAAACAGCCACTGGCTAAGCAGTGTAACCACCAAACCATTGTAAAAAAACGTGAACAATCAAATGCCTTGGCCAGCAGTGTTTCTGGAAGACTCAGATGTAGCAGGTTGTGTGAAGAGCACAAGCAAAGTTTATCTCAGCTGACAAACCTCTTCTATGGTTCCTATCAAGGCCTAAAAGTTATACAAACACCCAGCTGCCCCACAGTAGAGCACTGCAATACTGTCCTGCTGCAGTGACCTCCAGGCTGCTCACACCCCATCTAAGAAGTGCACTCCCCACTTACCACGAAAAGACAAGATAGCATTAGTTGATGACTGATTATTCAGTGAACAGGACTGTTTCCATGCGTTCCTTCCCACTTTGGGTTCTGAGGCAGACCAAAGCTAGTTATTACTGCCTCTAAATGCTTAAATAACCAGATCCACATCCTGAAGTCACCTGCCCCCAGGTTTGGAAGCAGTGACATTAACCTCCAATTAGATGAGGAAGCTTCACTGCACACCTGTTTTATGATGTGTCTGGTATCCTGCAGCACAACAAGAGGTTTTTATTTAACTGAGAATGTTACTTTTTAAACTCTTTCTCTCATAACTCCCAAAAACCTTTTCTGTTTAATATAAAATAAAAAGTACCAATGTATTGCATAAAATAAAGAATAGCAAGTAGGCTTACTGCAGTGCAATGACCACATTAATTCACAGAACTACTCAGTGGAAGTCCCTGATAAAAGCTGAAGTGAGGCTCATCATCTTGGAAAACAGGTTGGTGATAACCTGTTACTTTTACAGCCTTACACACTATTCTTCTCTATTTCTGCAGCTAGTAGTATTTAAAAGAAAAAATGTGTATATGACCAAAAAAAAAAGTGTACCCCTTGAAAATAAACTGGCCATCCTAGACTGTTAAAAAAGTTATAAAGAGAGGCTAACTCACAGAAAAATAATTTAAAGCTCTTACAACCTCAAATGCCTTATTTTGCTAAGGAGACATTTAAGTCCTTACCTACAAGAAATCAAAAGAGTAAACTTAGGCAAGTTACCTTTCAGCAAGCTGCACAGAAACACAGACCATTCAGAACCATGTACTGCACACCCCAGACATTTTTGTAAGTTAGTCCTTTAGCACTTACCACCACATTTCCTCCGGGCCCCTGACTCTGGACAGTTACACCCATCCACTGGTCTTCTTTACTCTCCATCCTTGGGTCAGCTGCAAAGTATCATAAAACGGCTTCAAATATTAACAGTTCGCGACGTTTTCTTTTTTCTGGTTTTTTTTTGTTTGTTTGTTTGTTTTTTGGTTTTGGGGTTTTTTTTTGTTGGTTGATTTTGGTTTTTTGTTTGTTTTTTCTTGAAGCCCATGTCAGGGGAGACTGTTCATACAGAACACCAGATAGTCTGCAGGTGGCAGTATCCGTACATTTTATCACTAACAGCATCCATTTTATTAAACTTCTATTCTATTACTTCATGCTACATCAACTTACAAAACAGTAAGAATCTACCAAGATTTAAGCATCTCATAGTGACTTCACAATTAAGCTACAGCTTACTATGATGCAAAAAGTTGTTACGTATAAATCCCTAGAAGAAACCGTCTGATACAGTGCCTCAGGAAAGGACATCAAACAAGAACGACCAGACAACTGTTTCAATTCAAAACAAAAGCACTAAAGAACTTACTGTCCTCATCAAATTTGACACGCAGGCAATTTGTATTTGGAGATGCAATGTCACAGCTGTACAGCCCTCCTGTTCTGTTGGCTTGTTGGGCTGGAAAGGCCTTTTCCCGAGGAGCTCCAACCAGCAATCTGCATGGAAAACAAAATAATTTAAAGGAATATTAGAAAAGAGAAAGGCAACAGAATTAGGAAGTGCTTTCACCATGTTGCTAGAGGTTTGATATGCCAACATTTGAAGACAGATGAAAAACCACACCACAGCACTGCTCTTTTAAAGAGAGAAAAGGGTGGGGAGGGGAAGGAGAGAAGCGATATAGCTTCTTACAATTATTAGACCTGCAATTATTTTTACATATTTACATATACCTGCAAGCCAGTGCCTGTATTGTTATGCCTGTTATTGTTGTTGCAATATTCACTGAGAGTGGTTGATAAAAAGTAGGTGTCTGGCAGTTTTGGGAAAATCATCTTTTTATCAGGACATCAAGGGGCGTATTTTTTGCCTTACAAGAAATCATTGATAAGGATGGATAAAGTCACTAAGATGACCAGAAACTCCCACAACAGTAAATACAATTGTTCTCAGGTTGTCTTCCAGTTTTACACCAGTCCTGCGCCACTGTTTGCCTGAATTTAAAGGCACCTAGTATCTCTGACCAAAGCAAGATCCTGGATAGATCCAGGATCAAGGAAGTGTTCACTGAACTGTTCCAGGCTCTGTGCAAACATGAACTCCCCCTGTCCACTCCTTTCGGCAGATATTTCATTTTTAAGCTGAAAATGGTTTTCTTCAGCAAATCAATCATCAAGAACAGGCCATTCCCACAAAGGACTTATTTATCCTATTAAACAGCTATTCTAACAAGCTCTCCTTAGACACTGCTCTGGTAACCAAATGCAAAGGTTCTTATTCTAAGCGCTGAGTAAAGCAAGCTTCCTTCTGTATAGACTGCACATCATGAGTATTATCACAAATCCACCAGCAGGCATATTTACTTCAAAATAAGGTGAAAAAAAATCTTACATTGTCTGTTTCTTTGTAGTGTCACGCACACAGAAGCACAGCTGCCTCTCAGGCAGCTGACTGAAATTAGCAGCAAGCAGTGTGCAGTAGTTTGTGGAAGAAACTACTTCATGCTCAGCTGAAACACCGAGGATGAGAGAACAGTGTGTGGGTAAGTGCAACACAGCAGGCGAGATGGATGCATGGATGGATGCTGAACCAGACTCTTCTTCCTGACCCCAGGACATAAAGCACTTGAAAGAAGATATCCCTGATATTACAGTGTCAAGGACAGAAAAGCTGGGACTACAAATGGATCCACAAGGCTCAAAAAGGACCTCAAACCCTTTTTAATACCCAGCTCTAGTTTTGCTTTGTTCTGGCAGTGGGTCAAAGCACACTGCTGTCCCTCAGAAGGCTATTTTTACTAAAAACAATACTCACTTTTCTTCATGTCCAACAATAAAGACTGGATCAGTTAAGATAATATGTGTTTTTTCTTATTAAGAAAATGTTTCTTCACTGTCCCTAAAGTAACAAATGAAACAAAATGAATCGATGTGTTATCAGAAAACATGTTTTTTTTAAAACACAAAATTTTATCTGTATTGTGAAACAACCAAATTTTCACTACTTCTGTAGGACTAAATTCTCCCACAATCTGAAATTTATCCTCTTCATGAAGGTAAGCCCCCTGAATGCTGAAACCTTCAGGTTAAGTATTTGCCTTTGGACCATACACAGGACACACCATGTGGGTGGGGTTTGGTTTAAAAGGTTTTCTGGTTTTCCCTCTTTTTCAAACATTTTTTCAGAAACATAGCAGTCATTCACAAGACTGCTACGAGTTTGTAAACTACTATGATCTTAGCAAGACCATCAATAACTGAATTTTTTAATTTTGGCAACAGTACATTTAACTGTAACGTCTTAAGAGTAATTCTTCTGCAAAGCACCTGAGTTATTCCTCATGGCAAAAGAGATACATTTTTTCCTCAGTTCTGTTATTGCCCAGGGAAAGACAGATGACTTTTTTTAAACATTAAGAACCATAACTTTAAGAAAGCAGAGGTACTGATTTCCTAACTTACAAAAATTTTTATTACTTCTACTTTCTCATTCAAAGCTTTGGGGGGTGGAAATTATGTACTCCACTTACAGAAATTAAAAACCTTCTGTTTCAACCTTGTGAACAAAACTAAAAGCTTCTCAAATTTAAACACCTAATTTGTTTTAATTCATCCATCTCCATACTACTGACAGTGGTGGTGCTGGGTCAAGAAAATGAACCCTGTTCTTTCCTACAGGATAGTGAGACTACGGCCCTCCTCCAGCTGAATGACCTTTTACAGCACACCATGATCCTGATGGCAGGAAAGGGCCTACTGAAGCACTGGGGGAATAAACAGCATAGCCAACAGAATACGGAGTGGGAAGATGTGCCACCTGCTGTAAAATGCTGCAAACATTCAATGGCATCTCAGACACCGCTGAGGCCAACAGTGAAAAATGAAATTGCTCAGCCTTCTTAAAAAATGTAAAGCTTCCATCCAACATGATCCCAAAGGAAACAGGCAACCTTAGATTCTTCCCAATGCCCATACCCCCCATCCAAATATTGCCTACGTTATTTTCCAGTGTAAACAAAGAATTTCAAAACAGACTTATTTAAAACCTTCCAGATTTCAAAGAACTGTTACCAGGAATCCTGTCACTAATCTTCAAAGCTCTTCAAATACAAAAACTTGAATTTTCTAGGTACTTCATTTTAAGTCCTTACAACACAGGCCAAGAGAAGCACACACTATGAGTAAGTGCTCACAAAGGATTAGATCAGTTCAAGTACAATACTACAGTAAATCCTGAAATGTCCTTTCAAGTAGCAACCAAAGATCCATTAAGAAGTGGCACAACTCCTCTGTACTTGTTTATACTTTTCTGCCCTAAAGAACAGAGCAGAGAAGACTAAACCTATGCCCCTGGGTTCTGGCAGACAGGTTACTGAAGGTGATGATTATAATCACTATGAGGATTATCAACACTATCAGAATCTATGTAAGAAAGCCACATGCATCTAATCTTTGGTTGAATAAATCAAGCAAAACAAAAAATTCCTTGCAAACACACTGTCATTCTGCTCAACAGAGCTGCTGTTCAGCTTGCCTACCATTTAAAAGGTACATCTGAAAATCAAAATTCTATTATAAAAGCCAGATTACTTAATTTAAAAATAAAAAGTGTGCACAGAACTACAGAAGTATGACGTGAACCATGCATCAGTGTGAATTTCAGCATGACTGCAGTAATACAAATGAATCAGCTCATATACTGAGCCATACTACGTGCTCAGCAGAGTCCTTCCAGATAGAGGACACATTCCAGTCATTACTCTATGGCTACTTACTCAGCTGTGATTTAATAAAAGAATTTTAATCAAGTTTGAGCTCATTATGCCAAAACCAGGTTAGCTTTTTCTGCAGCTATGCATGTTCCATTTTAGTTTCTCATTGGCAAGCAAAACCTCTTTCTGCAGGTCAGAGGTAGGGGCAGAGCGAGGGGATGCTCTTCCAGCTATCACCATCTCCTTATACTGGCAGATGAAACACGGACACTTAAAACCTAGGAACTTTTCCTCTGAAAATGAAGAGTGACAAAAACAAATTCTTAATTTCTCTTCACCCATGCTCACAGTATGATTCGTTTTATTCACTGGGACTTCTGCCTGAAAGTCTGTGGACATGGTCTACTCTAACTACTTTCAATTAGGTTTGAATGTTCAAAATCGTGTTCCAGGATGCATACTCAGATAACAAAATAACGTCCCAATGTCAAGAATGCAGAGTGGGAGATGAAAACCCAAGACACTCCAACACGCCATTTTACTGATTCTTCTATCCCCGTGGTTGGTGTGCCTTGTTACTCTACAGAAAACAGAAGCTCAGCCATACAGTATACTGAACATAAACATCTCTGAGCATCAGTTCCTGTCAGAGGCTTAGCTTTTTATTATTTGAGTTATGATGACTTAGTAGCTAATCTTTACCATTAGTCCAACGTCAGAGAAAAGCAGACAATTTCTATTCCTCGTGTAAATTACAGAAACAGATGATTCTAACTGTTAACTTGAATCCTGATTTTCCCCACACATCTTGCTTCAATACGTACTATAACTTCACTGGGTTTTCCCTGGGCCAATCAGGCTGCACAGGTGTTAATCTACAGAAATGTAACATAATTAACCATTAATATAATTTAATTTAAAATAAGCATCTATCAAGTGACTGTGTTGGGGAAAAAAAAAAAAATCTGAATTCTCTCATACCCTGGCATAAAACTACAATGTTATTATAATTAAAACATGTGTCTTCCAATTTCAAACAGAAATTCTGATTTTTAACCAAATTAATCAGTCCAGTTGCTCTATCAATTAGAATTTTCTCTTAATTACTTCTTGAAGATACGTGACAATAACTGAAGTCCCACTGCCAATTATGAGGATCTGCTGACTTACAGGAACAGATTTACTCCCTCACAGCCCCAGATTCATAGCTAAATGTAAGATAATCCCCTAGGATTAGAGCTGCAGGATTGGTGCACAATGTTTTACTACCTGACCTTCCTGAGAGCAGGCTCAGGTGGTGCTGCCTGCCCCGCACAGACACCAGTGACCCCGGCTGTACCTGCGTGTGCGAGGGCAGCTGGAACACAACAGGGAGAGCTGGCTCATGCTCTCAAAACAGGGACCAGCAGGGTGCCCCATCCCTCCATGGAACCCTATGGCACAGCTACCCCCACCCTACCTCACTGCAGTGTTACATTACACCCAAACACAACAGCTGAGGCAAGAAAAGCTCCATTTCACCACTTAGATTAAGCACTACTCAAGTGCCAGAAAAGGTATCAAGACATCTTACTGTCTTTATCTACATCTGAAGCAGACTTTTGGATAAGTGTGTGTAGAAAACATGCTTCATAAACCCACATATCTCCAAGAAGCAGAAGAAGGTGAGAACTGACTGCCCACATTCAGGTAGGCACCAAGCCTCAGGTGGTCAACTGCTGTTGACCAGTGTTGTAAAAATGTAACTACACGTCTGACTCCAGATGCACAAACAGTCTATGAACTGTAGGTCTGGCTGCATTTAGAAGAACCAGTCAGATTCTGGAACAGCATGATTTATTGGATACAACATACAACGTTCCTCTGGACTGAGGGTGAGAATGCATTAACTGCAGAGTAGCTACATACAGCACTATCAGTGCCATTGCAATCACAAGCTTAATGCCCTAGGTCAACGCTCAGCACAGCTGAGGACACAAGGCTTACCAAATGAATCTGTGTCTCTGCTGGGGCGGGGGGGCGAGGAGGACAAACCTGTGTCTGTCCCTGCAATTTCACTCAAGTTCTCATCCCTTCTTGGATGCAGAAGTGAGGTACATTTATATCTTATTCACTGCTACTGTTCTAAGTGCTGTGGGTGGGACTGCAGTCAAATCTTCTGTTCTTTGAGGGCATATCTGCAGAATATGTCTTGGTAGGAAGTGTACTTGGTTAACACAAAACATTTCTGGGTATCAAGCAGAAGCACGAGACCGCAGGGCCTACGCCTCGCCTGGCATTCCCACCCGCAATGCCACAGCAACACAAACCACAGGCCCTCCAGCCAATTTCCATACCTGCACCTAGAGGCGCCATTGCATATTGAGCTTTGCACTTTCTTCACTACTTTACACTTTTAACAACCAGTATTCAGCAAGAATAGGTAGGTGAACACTGAGAAGAAAGGGTAACTTTATTTAATTAGATAAAAAGAGTCATTAAAATCCAAAGTAAAATACACGAGCTTTCCATTTCAACACATACTACAGAATATTAAGCAGTAGGGTGCAGATTTTAAACCCTCCCTGCTTTAATTGGTAATTCTTGAAATGTTTAGTAGGTAGCTGTGGCTCCTTCTCAGCTAATGAAAACAACAGTGAGAACTGGGAGTGGTTTCTGCTCACAGCTATCTGAACTCCCTCCAATACAAGAAACCATCTTGGTCGCTTTAAAAAGGAAAGTCAAAGTTAAGATGTGAAAACCATATCAAAAGAAATTCAGAAATCGTCCAACCTCCTGGAAGTATTCCCCCACTACACAACAAAATTCTTTTCTTCACTTACAGCCTGGAACTGTACAAGGGTAACATGATTTTCGCAACATACTTCAAAGAAAAATTATCACCAATTCATTACAGTTCTATTTTGGAAAAAACTCTCAAATCAAGTAAAGGAGGGAGAAGAGCTTCAATGTTTATTAGAGTACATATCCTGTTCATCAAAGTAAGAGGCTTCCACTGAGTAAATTACATTTTGATTTAAACAAATACAAAAAATATCACAGTCTGCACCGAACTCAGATACTCTGCTATCTCCCAAAGTTTTCTTCATTCCTTAAATTCTTTCCTTTTCCATGGTATCCTTCTACACAGACAAGGCACC